GATTGGAGGTGCCCAGATGAGGCCCATCTGTGAAACAATGCAAGCTGCTGTGGGGCCTCGGGCCTTTTTTTGTATGTTCTGGGTCTCTCTGACCCAGCTGAAGTTTGTTAGGTAATTTTAGATTGCAAAGGGTCAGGCCATTCATATGCAAAAGCCTCTGCACACAGCTTGGGTGGGGCAAGGTCTCACGGAATCAACAGGGCAGAGCAAACAGCTATGGCAGATCTTCAGTCCTACCCTAAGAGGTCCCGTGTCTCTTTGTTCCTGTAATCTCCACCAGCACCTCTGAGAGAAAGCCGCCCTGGAGTTCTGACCACTGCCAGACAGTCCAGTTTCTCCCCGTATGTTTCTGGGTCCCCAGAGATTTGCCCGGAACTGAGTTCAGAGCAGCCAGGAGCTTGAGACTCCCTCCCGATTGAAAAAGACAGACACGTCCTCAGTTGCCAGCCCTTTCTGCGTGCACCTCCATACCTCTGCACTTTACTTCTGTACCTCCTCTGAGTCTCAGTGTGCTTTTCTCTTTCCTTCTTGTTGTAGAATTTCCACTCAGCCAGCCTTCCTGTGGTTCTGGATGATGTCCGTTTTGTCTTTTAGTTGTATTTTTGAAGTGGTTGTGCGAGGCAGCAATTCAGGTGTTTACCTATGCTGCCATCATGGTTTCTCTTTGAATAGTTTCTTCTTCAAGAATTTTTATAATGAAAGAAAGAATTATGAATAAACTCGAATATACCTGTCATGGTTTGAGGTTCCTGGGAAGCAGACTTTGAGACACAGTTTATTGTGCAGGATATTTATTAGGGCATGCCCTTGAGATCAATACCAGTGGGAGGGAGGAAAAGGAAGCAGGAGTGAGCGCAGGGAGAAACCAAGCTGTGATGCAGGGCCAACAATCACCTCCACTGACCTTATGGAGAGTCCTAGATCTGAGATGGCCATTCAGAGCTGTCCTGAGTTGGGAGGAGGGAGTGAGGTTTTCATACCCTCCTGTCAACCAGTCATGGAATGTCACTCGCCTTGGAAAGGTATGCGACCTTGGGTGCATCTCTGCAACTGAGGCAGTGCTCAAAGAGGGCTGACAGCTGAAAGTCATGTTTCAATAGCATGCTTAGCAGCCGGGGAGTAAGTCCTTTATTCACAATGGGGAATCTGGATGCCACCTCACAGTTTTCACCACAATGTCATACTGAGAATTTATAAAAACCAAGTCATAATCAATGCTAAGAATTCAGAAAAAGAAGCATGAAGGAAGGTGAGAATAATTATGATTTTTGGACTGACAAGACTTCCACATGGAGGGTGTAGAAATGAAGGTGGACAAGAATTTGGACAAAGGAGGAGCTGATATGTTCCTTTGAAGATGCCCAGGAGGAGACAAACGGTAAAAGTCTGTGATGGCAGAAAAGGGCAAGATATGTGCAGGGTTGGCAATAAGACTGGATTTCCTGCAGTAAGATATTGAAAAGATTTAAAAAAGACAGAAGCAGGGGATGCTAGTGGGGAGCCTTGATACTCTTAATCAGCTTTGACTTAAGAAACAA